TATGGTAATTTCGAGGACTCCAGTCAGGGGTTTACAGATAGAACTCTAATCTCCCTGGGACGGAGCCTCTGGTTCAGTGGACTTAGTCTTTCTTTCGGCTGGCACTGAGGAATTGAAACAGTCCAGACAAGTGGGATTCCTACCACTGCAGCACACCCACTTCACTAAGGGACAGAGGGCTTCACTGAGTCCCTGATCCCATGACTCCTAGCTGGGTGAGGCCTCCAAACAGGGATCACCAGAGACCTCATACAGGAGAGTTAGCACTGGCATCACATCGGTGCCCTGCTGGCATGGAGCTCCCAGAGGAGGGTGCAGCCAGTCGGCTTTGTTCTTCTGCAGCCTCCACTGGTGATACCTCCAGGTGTAGGAGGGACCCAGGCAAACTGCAGCAGTCCTGCAGAAGAGGGGCCTTACCGTTAAAGGAAAAACGGAACACAACAACAAAAGGCCCCACAAAATGTCACCCAACGGTCAGAGCCTCAAAGATCAAAGGTAGATAAACCCACAAAAATGAGAAATCCACACAAACACTGAAAATTCAAAAAGCCGGAGGGCCTCTTCTCCAAATGATTGCAACACCTCTCCAGAGGGCACAGAGCTGGGCTGAGGCTGAGATGGATGAATTAACAGAAGTAGGCTTCAGAAGGTGGGTAATAACAAACTTTACTGAGCTAAGAGTGTTGTAACACAATGCAAAGAAACTAAGAACATCAATAAAACATAGGAGCTGTTAACCAGAATAACCAGTTTAGAAACAAAGATGACATGAAGGAGCTGAAACACGAGAAGTTCACAATGCGATCACAAGTGTCTGCAGCTGAATACACCAAGCAGAGGAGAGAATCTTGGAGCTTGATGACTATCTTGCTGAAATAAGACAAGCAGACAAGACTAGAGAAAGAATGAAAAAAAACAAAACCTCCAAGAACTATGAGATTATGTAAAAAGACCGAACCTATGCCTGATTGGGATACCTGTAAGAGATAGAATAGAAACAAGTTGGAAAACACATCCAGAATATCATCCAGGAGAACTTTCCCAAACTAGCAAGACAGGCCAACATTCAAATTCAAGAAGTCTAGAGAATCCCAGAAAGATATTACATGAAAAGATTAACCCCAAGATACAGAATCAGCTTTTCCAAAATTGACATGAAGGAAAAAATGTAAAGGGCAGCCAGAGACAAAGGGAAGCTCATCAGACTAACAGCAGACCTCTCAGCAGAAACCCTACAAACCAGAAGAGATTGGAGGGCCAATATTCAACATTCTTAAAAGAATTTCCAATCCAGAACTGCATAACCAGCCAAACTAAGCTTCATAGGCAAAAGGAGAAATAAGATTCTTTTCAGACAAGCAAATATTGAAGTAATTCATTACCACCAGGGCTGCCTTGCAAGAGCTCCTGAAGTAGTGAAGATGAAATTGAAAAAACATTATCAGCCAGTACAAACCAGTGAAGTACAGACCAATGACACTGAAGAAACTACATTAAGTCTGCAAAATAGCCAGCATCATGGAGACAATCAAATTCACACCCAACAATATCAACCTTAAATATAAATGAGCTAAATGCCCCAATTAAAAGACACACAATGGCAAACTGTGAAAAGAGTAAAGGTCCATTGGTATGCTATAGTCAAAGGATGCATCTCGCATGCAAAGACACACATAGGCTCAAAATAAAGGAATGGAGGACATTTTACCAAGCAAACGGGAAGCGGAAAACAAGCAGGGGTTGCAATCCTAGTTTCTGATAAAACCAGACTTTCTTTTTTAATCTTTGTTGGTTTAAAGAAGGGCATTACATAATGGTAAAGAGTTCAACGAGAAGAGCTAACTATCCTAAATACATATACACCCAATACAGGAGAACCTAGATTCATAAAACAAGTTCTTGAAGACCTACAAAGAGGCTTAGACTCCCACACAATGATAGCGGGAGACTTTAACAACCCACTGTTAATATTGGACAGATCATCGGGACGGAAAGTGTAAAAGATTCAGGGCTAGAACTCTGCTCTAGATCAAGTGTACCTGATAGAGATCAACACAACTCTCCACCCAAACACAGCAGAATATACATTCCTCTTGGTGCCACATGGCACTTACTCTAAAATTGATCATGTAATTGAAAGTAAAACACTCCTCAGCAAATGCAAAAGAACTTAAGTCTCTCAGACCACAGCACAATTAAATTAGAACTCAGTATTAAACTCAGTAAAAGCCATACAGTTACATAGAAGTTGAACAACCCACTCCTGAATGACTCCTGGATAATTAATGAAATTAAGACAAATTAAGAAGTTCCTTGAAACTAATGTGAGCAAAGAGGCCATGTACCAAGATCTCTGTATCTCTGGGATACAGCTATAGCAGTGTCAAGAGAAATTTACAGCACTAAATGCCCACATCAAAAAGGTAGAAAGATCTCAAATCAACATCCTAACATCACAACTAATGAACTACAAAATCAAAGGCAAACAAAGCCTTAAGCTAGTAGAAAAGAAATAACCAAGGTCAGAGCAGAACTGAAGGAGAGATAGACACACACACAAAAAACCCTTCAAAATATCAACAAATCCAGAAACTAGGTTTTTTGAAAATTGATAGCTAAATTAGTAAAGTAGAAAAGACAGAAGAATCAAATAGAATAAAAAAAGATAAAGGGGACTTCACCATTGGCCCCACAGAAACACAACCAACCATCAACGAATAAGGAAGCAGCAAATTGCCAGTGTTTGAATCTAGGAAAAGATTGGTTTTAAAAAAATGTTTAACACAGGAATGATGGCTCACACCTATAATACCAGCACTTTGAGAGGTTGAAGCAGAAGGATCGCTTGAACCTAGAAGTTTGAGACCAGCCTGGGCAACATGATGAAACCCTATCTGTACAGAAAAACAGGTGTGTGTGTTTGTGTAAACTGGGTGTGTTAGCATGCCTGTAGTCCCAGCTACTTGGGAGACTGAGGTGGGAGGATTGCTTGAGGCAGGGAGTTTGAGGCTGCAGTGAGCTGTGGTTGCACCACAGTACTTAAGCCAGGCAACAAAGTAAGACGATCTCAAAAAAAAAAAAGTTTAAAGGATAACTGAGTGTCATAAGGAATGGGAAATTAGTATGTTGGCCTGAAATACTCCTAAACAGCAATCTGTAACAATTGCCTTCATTATTCTATGCATGTGATGGAAACAGGAAAAAATGTGTTACCCTGAGGTAACTTGATTTCTTCATCTAAGACTGGGTAGGGTAGGTGGGTGGGGACATTTTATCCTATGTAAAGTATTTCCATTCCCAGCATTCTATGATTGTACAGAATTGCTCATGCTAGATTTCTAACTTGAAAATATCCTTCTGCCTAAATGTAAAATGCCACTTGACATTTCTGCAAGCCATAATTCAAGAAAATGTAAGAACAAATACCAAAGTAATTTAGCATAACAGAATGCTAAAGAGGAATTTTTCTTTTCTATCTGTATCAGAGATTCAAAAACTGAAAGCAAAATAATTTGAGATGTTTAATACAAAAGTATTTCTACATTCCAGAATAAGGTGGTAGACTCCTTGGGTGCAGGGTTGCTTTGCCAAGAAGTTTAGCTCCAAAACTGATCTTCTGACTCTTAAGTCAACCGTCATGGTAAGATGTAAACAAAGGATGCGGAAACTCTAAGGGATAATTGCATCAGAGAGTCTGAAGTGTGAATTGAGACCTACTTCCATGCGAGGGGAGGAAAGCTTTTCTTTCATTTCTAGCCTCCATTCACATAGCCCAAATAGCTTTATGCATGCCCTCTAGGGTAAAAATGAGAGGGACATAGCAGGCCTGTGTCTCATTAACACCTGAAGTTAACAGGAAAATGTTGTACATGGTGGTGCAGGGGCAGCGGAGTAAGAGTGGAAACGTTGGTGTTGCAAAATGTTTGAGTCTCCCACAGGCCAAGTAGAAGTTAAACCAGGAGTTGTACAAGAGGGGAGGCTTGGCAACGTGTAGGACTGTAACAGGAAAACATTGGGGTGTGTATCACCAGGGGCATGAGCTGGAGGAGGTAAGTCATAAGAAACTAGCCAGAGTTACTGAGTTTGGAAATGTGCAATTCAAAGGTCCCTGAGTTGGGGTCATCAAAGAATCCTTAGCTGTGCCACCAGGAAAAGGAGTATGTTTTGCACATCTGCCAAGCTTCAAGAACAGCAATGCTACCTTTTTCCTTCCCATCCCCCCTTTATATCCTCAGTGAAAGGAAAACTGACTAGTGAGTTGAAGACAGTTCTCTCTGGTGTTTTACCTATTTAACATAGAAGATGAGAAGCATTGAATTACAACATGTTGGGAGATTTAGAACTATTTTCTTGTAGTTCTGTAAACCCCATTTCTTTCCTTAGTTGGAACAGATAAAAGCACCAAAATATTCTCCAAGTAATAGGCTCAGATATCTATCTCTACATGAATAAAACGGTCATTTAGCATGGAAAGTTAAATTATGAGATCATGGTTTAGCAAAAGTGTAGAAAACAAAAGAGCTCAACTCCTTGACATGAGAGCATAAACGGAGTGTAAACTCGGGATCTAGCAAAGAGATGTGAAGAGAAAATCTGAGCAACACTGAAGAACTAGAAGCCTTAAGGGAGTGATGTCCAGCTTCAAAGTTAAGTTCTTTGAAATTTTGTCACATAAACCCTGAGCGCTTTATCAAAACCAGGAGTAAAATCTGATATGCATTCTAAGATACATTGTTTTTGAAGAGGCCAATTTTCAGTTAAATTGTTGGAGTAGAAATAAGACTAGATGGCACTTGGTATAAATTTAGAATTCAATGTAGTCAAGAATTAAGAACCAAATACGGCCCTGATAATACAAGCCACTTGTCCATACATACCTACCGATCCCCTAGATTTTGGAGAAATCTTGAGGTAGTCATTGAACATTCCACAGAGGACAGAAGAAAGTTTGGACCAATCTTACTCCAGTTGACATTTGGCTAATGTTCAAAATTACTTACTTGTATGCTGAATCATCTTTGATTTTTTTTATTAGGTAGAGAATGTTCTGTTGAGTCTAAACAAGATTCCTCCTTAGAAAACAAATTTGAATCTCGCTTTCCACCGAATTAGTATCTCTTTTAGTAAGGAAAAGGCAGTTTTCAATATGCCAGTGCTTTGCCTGGAAAAAAAAATTTTTATGAAATTCATTTTCTTCAAACATGTATATGTGTTTACATGTGCTGGTTTACTAATTAAAGTCCTGGGGTGGGGCACCAAAAAATGAAAAGACGTGACTTCTGTTCACAAGAAGCTTACAGTTTCACAGGGGAAATAAGACTCATGTACCTTTAATAAAGATAGAAAACGAGATGTGTTAAAAGAAATAAAATTTTATGAAGTGATCATAATGAATAACATATTTTAACATTCCCCACTGTAAAATTCTGAATAGCCAGATATGTATTACTAAAAACTTGTTAAATCGTCAATTTTTCTCTCAACTATTTTCTTTGCATATTACCACCTTAAAATGTTTTCAAAACCCAGTTCAGCTATATGACTTTTTAGAAAATACTTAATTTTCAGATTTTGGCTACACTTAAAAAGCATTCATCTAGCAAAAGTTCCCCACTGACAATCTATTTTATGTTTTAAATACAGAACCGATTTTCTCATATCAATTCACTTCATGCATACAGAAGGTTCCAGAGAATACAGCCTGTGAGATGAGGGGAGCTATAGGCATCCTGCAGATAATTGGGTCTGCAAATTGATCAGCCTTGCCATAAGTATTTGCAGAATAAAATGCCTACACTGCCAGGCAAATAATATCATTGAATGAATGTAGCCTAATACAAGAAAATAAATGAGTAATAAAAATAGTAAAACTCACCCTCAGCATTTAATGCAATAAATAAAATCGGGACTACACTGAACTAAAGAGAACCCATTTTACACAGAGGCCGTAGTTACTCTTAAGGAATGACATGTTTCCCCTCCCCCCCACTTTAAGTTCTGGGATACATGTGCTGAACATGCAGGTTTGTTACATAGGTATACATGTGCCATGGTGGCTTGCTGCACTATCAACTCATCCAGGTTTTAAGCTCTGCATACGTTAGGTATTTGTCCTATTGTTCTCCCTCCCCTTTCTCCCCACCCCTTGACAGGCCCTGGTGTGATGTTCCCCTTCCTATGTCCATGTGTTCTCATTGTTCAACTTATCAGTGAGAGCATGTGGTATTTTGTTTTCTGTTTCTGTGTTAGTTTGCTGATGAGTTTCCAGCTTCATCCATGTGCCTGCAAAGGACATGAATTCATTCTTTTTATGGCTGCATACTATTCTGTGGTGTGTATGTGCCACATTTTCTTTATCCAGTCTAACATTGATGGGCATTTTGGTTGGTTCCAAATCCTTGCTGTTGTAAATAGTGCTGTAATAAACATACACGTGCATATGTCTTTATAGTAGAATAACTTATAATCCTTTGGATATATACCAGTAATGGGATTGCTGAGTCGAGTGGCATTTCTGGTTCTAGATCCTTAGGAATCACCACACTGTCTTCCACAATGGTTGAACTAATTTACACTCCCACCAACAGTGTAAAAGCATTCCTATTTCTCCACATCCCCTCCAGCATCTGTTTCCAGACTCTTAATGATCGCCATTCTAACTGGCATGAAATGGTATCTCATCATGGTTTTGATTTCCGTTTCTGTAATAACCAGTGGTGATCAGCTTTTTTTCATGTTTGTTGGCCACATAAATGTCTTTTGAGAACTCTGTTCATATCCTTCACTCACTTTTTGAGAAGGTGGTTTTTTTTCTGTAAATTTGCCTGAGTTCCTTGTAGATTCTGGATATTAGACTTTTGTCAGATGGATTGCAAACATTTTCTCCCATTCTGTAGGTTGCCTGTTCACTCTGATAGTTTCTTTTGCTGTGCAGAAACTCATTAGTTTAATTAGATTCCATTTGTCAGTTTTGGTTTTTGCTGCAATTGCTTTGGTGTTTTAATCATGAAGTCTTTGCCCATGCCTATGCCCTGTATGGTTTTGCCCAGGTTTTCTTCTAGGGTTTTCAGTTTTAGGGTTTACATTTAAGTCTTTAATCTATTTTGAGTTAATTTTTGTGTAATGTGTAAGAAAGGGGTCCAGTTTGGTTTCTGCATGTGGCTAGCCAGTTTTCCCTGCACCATTTATTAAATAGCTTTGCTCCTTTTTCTTAGAATTGTCTTGGCTATACAGGCTTTTTTGTTGTTCCATGTGAAATTTGAAGTTGTTTTTCTAGTTCTGTGAAGAAAGTCAATGGTAGCTTGTTGGGAATAGCAGTGAATCTATAAACTACTTTGGGCAGTATGGCCATTTTCATGATATTCTTCCTATCCATGAGGATGGGATATGTTTCCATTTGTGTCCTCTGATTTCCTTGAGAATGACTTGTAGTTCTCCTTGAAGAGGTCCTCCATATCCCTTGTAAGTTGTATTCCCAGGTTGTTTTTTTTTTTTTTTTTTTTAGCAATCGTGAATGGGAGTTAACTCATGATTTGGCTCTCTGCTTGTCTATTGGTGTAAAGGAGTGCTTGTGGTTTTTGCCCATTGATTTTGTATCCTAAGACTTTGCTGAAGTTGTTTATCAGCTTAAGGAGATTTGGGGCTGAGACAATGGGGTTTTCTAAATACATAGTCACCTCATCTGCAAACAATTTGACTTCCTCTCTTCTCTTGCCTGATTTCTCTGAGAAGTGAGAAACTTGATTCTTCACACGAAATCTATTACTGTTTAAAGCCAACTAAGTCAAATTTTAATCATTGGATGAAGAAGCCACAACCAAAGTCACTGGACATCAAATAAGATCAGATGAGAAGAGTTGCCAGTTCACAAACTCTGCCTAGCACAACAGTAGTTAGTGCACAAAGAGGGGTACTGAAGAATTTCAAGCATCACCTGAATTTCTTCTTATCCCACAATCACCTGACAGCTTCATGGAATAACCGTGCATGCATGAATAAATTATCTCCAATTCTATTTCTCCACCTCTAGAAATAGGTATACTACACAAGTTTTAAAAATCTAACCTGAAAACAAGCCTAAGATTAATAGCTATGTTATAAAAGTGATTTAAAGTTATTTTTAAAAAAGCTTTTATGAAATATATGGAATATGGCACTAAACTTTAAATACTTTTTTCAGACTGCATGCAATTGAAAAACTGTCTTAATAAATTACATTAGTTTCTCCATTATATAAATTCAGTGTTAATTCAGCTGAAAAATGCAAGATTCAAATGTAGGACAAAAGTCACTACGTTGTACAAATCGAATTTTTGATCCTAGTTCTATTTACTAATTGGACTCTTCTCGTCTATGTATTTCCACTTGCCTTCCATGACTTTCTGTAAAAAGGTGGTCCCTTCTTACATATCATGAGCAGGACACTCACTGTTGCTATTTTTCAGTTCCCACTAATTTACCCTCTTCCCTTCTCTTTTCCTCTTTCCTCTCCCTGCCCCTCCTTTCAGTTTCCGCTTCCCCACTCTTTCCTGTACATCTTGGGACTAAGGGCACCTATATATCCAAGACAGCTTCAGAAAGGTGAATCCTTTTATATAAAAGTAGTGCAAACAGAAGAAAGTAGAAAACGCAGTTTTCCCCAGCTTTGCTAGCCTTCAGTTTGTAAAACTGACCCAGATCTGATGACTCTTCTCCTGTCTTGAGCAGAAGGGGAAAAAATATTAATCTCATGCAGGCTTTTTGAGTCTGAAGTCCTTCACAAAAGCAAGACTTCACAAAAACAATTAAAATACCAGTAAAATAAAGTAGTTTTACAAGCACACACTTCTTAAAATTTAGCTACAAATTATGCTTGGTGGGTACACTTTATATGGCACCCACACCTAGAATGGTCTTATTTCTTGTTTCAACCCCAGAAGTCTAAAACTTCTTAGGTCACCCAGTTGATATTTTGCTGCTTTACCTGTTAAAGCCTCATCTCATCTTGCCACAGCCTGCATCAGCAACACATTGGCTTCCTCAATGGCCCAAAAGCAGGCTTTTAGCTTCTTTCCTGCCCAGACTGCCAGCCATGTCCTTCCCTATCATTCACCACATACCCATATGAGTTCCCACTTAGCCACTGCTTTTTCTGACTGAGAAAAGTCCTAGTGCTTGTCTTGTCTTATTTACATAATAAGAGATTGATACAGCTCCCGAGTGTTACACTGAGACTCATTTTCCAGCCAACATGGGTCCACCTCCCAGATGAGTTTCTGACTTACCAACACCCTCTACAGTACATGGTGAAGGGGTGCTTAAAATTCTTTCCACACAGGTTGGCCTCATCAAACTGACTTTACAAACAGAGCAACAACAAACCTTGTCTTCTAACACTAAAAGAATTGTCTACTCTCATCGCATAAGATTGGCACCCAAGGCTCCTAAATAGAATTAAATCAACTGGCCAAACAAAACTTGAGGCTTCACCTTAAACTTGTACCAGTTTTGTACAGTACTAGTTGAAACCAATCAAATGTATTTTGTCTCCAAAAGCACAAATGGAACAAGAGTTCCCACGAAAGCAATAGGGGAAAAAAAAGAACAGAATATATGAGACTATTTTTTTTTTCTATGCCCTCCACTTCCATTTCATTTCATATACAGGAGCAAGTCAGATCTAACTTTCATGAGAGAAGTTAAGAGCCCCCAAGTGACCCAACTTGAGTTAAAAGCCAAACTCTACCACCCTGAGTTCTGTGAACTCAGGCAAACTATTCAAACTCTCTGCCTCTGTTTCCTCATCTGTAAAATGAGAATTGCGAGAGCTCCTCCCTCCTGGTTGAGCAATTATGAAGATTAAATGAGTTCTTGGAAAAATTTTAAACCAGTGCCCCAGGTACACAAGAAAAACTTGGTAAACGTTAATTATTATTTGGTAGCAGTAAACCAGATAATGAATAGGATGATTTTCTAAAATTTTCTACATTTGATTACATTCTTAGTTAAGTCACTTGTCTTCTTAATAACATGTTCATTTTATCCACATTACATTTTTACTAAATTTTGAAATTGAAGGAATTTAGAGAATTTTTTCAGAAACACTGGAATATTTTGAGCTGCACACAGCCCCCATCTTTCCGTGTCTCTGCTGTCTTCTGCTTGATGAAGCTGTCCTGGTTAATGGAAAACAGGACAAGAGTTGCCTGGAGCTACTGTTGGGAATGTTGTCAGTTCTTTCATGACTAATGAACGATAAACAGCTGATGAGATTCAAATAGAAAACAGCCCAAGTTAATACTAAATGTCAAGTAAATACCAGAATAATAAAGCAATATTTCTACCTGGCTAAAGAGCCAAACAGGAGCATTGCAGACACCAGTCACACAAATGCTGCAGTCTGCAGAGGAGGAGATGATGATCGGTAACTGACCACCCAGCTCACATATCTCTAAGGAACTTATCCGGTCCTCGTGAGGCTGGAATGATCTTATCAGAGTTGGGGCCTTAGTGATTTTGTTCTTACTGGAGTTAAGACGGTACTCCTGAATGAAGGAAAAAAAATAGCAATACTCTAAAATATCCAAATATGAAATTATTACAATGACGTAACACTTTTTTAAAGGCAGATTTTAAAATTTTGAACAATAACCCTGTGATCCAAATGCAAAAGGAAAGTTCATGATAAGAGGCTAGAAAAATAAAATTATATTTTTAAAAAGGTTTCTAACTTATCTAACTACTTGGGAAGTAGAAAAATGTAGTGAGGAAAGAAAAAAGTAAAGTCAGTCATTGGATAGAGATGAACTTTAACACAGCTAGGTGGTCACATATACAACTTTTAAATATTAGAAAATTTAGCAGGTAATTTAAAAAAAAAAAAAAAAAACCCAAACTCAGGGTAACAATGTCAGATGAAGGCATAGTTCTCTAACTATTTAAATTACATTTACACTCTCATTGCAAATAAGGGGTTGCCTCACCCTAGGCCACATAGTGAGACTATGTCTCTACAAAAATAATGCTGAGTACAGTGGAACATGCCTGTAGTCTCAGCTACTCAGGAGGCTGAGGTGGGAGGAGGATGGCTTGAACCAGGAGTTTGAGGTTACAGTTATAACCATGCCACTGCACTCTAGCCTAGGTGGCAGAGGGAGATCCTGTCTCAATTTTTCTGTATTCATTTTTTTAAGGTATATACTATCTACGTTCAAATAATGCTCCAATGCCTTACAATACAACATTTCTAAATTGGATGACTGATTTAGAAGGTTGTCAATATTGAGAAAAATATTTTCCTCATCAATTATTTGTCTCTTCATGAAACTTAATGTTTCTTTAAAACGCTAAGACTAAACATTTTTATTTAGGAAACGGACAAGATGTAATTCAGTTACCTGCAGCAAAGACCATCAAAAATCATAAAGGTGATGTGATAATTTGTTTTTCAATTTACCTCTATATTCCAGATTTTCAACCATCCATCAAGATCTCCTGTGGCAAGGTATCGATTGGTCTTATCAGTAGACATAATAATCGATCCAACTCCACTATGAGCCAAAAATTCAGCCAGAAGTTGCTTCTTACGTATATCCCAAAATCTGACATAACCAGATCCTCCACATGATACCAGGTTAGCTCCTCCTAGCATGCAAGGAAAAATCTAACTAGAAAACTGAACAATGAATAACGGAAATAACTTCTTAGGTGGCTTTCCCTGTGGAAAGCATAAATTATGTTGGAGAGGTGAGTAGCCCTGAGATCAATTCCCAGCACCACTTCAATTTTCTCAAATAAAAAATCGTAACCCCATGATAACCTCACTGCTTTGTGTTGAGTATTAAATGAGATAGGATATTGAAATGTTTCGTTACATTTAGCTCCCTTTTCTTCATTATTCTGATGTTTGGGGGGTTTTAAAAGTTAGATATAATTTGTTTCTTCAGATAAACATGAAATATTCCAACATCTCATTACATAAAATTCACCTTCCTAATAACGCATTGGACATACACAATGAAGTAAAAGTTCTCATGTACAGATTTGGGTGGAATATATGTATACACAGCTGGTAGCACAACTATTGACTTCTTCATTTAGCAGCACACTTAGAATTCTGTTTGAGCTTTCTTTAAACTTTTTCATCAAAAATAACTCATTGTAAACCCTTAACTTTTTAAATAGATGGATTCTTGCTCTGTCGCCAGGCTGGAGTGCAGTGGTGTGACCTTGGCTCAATGCAACCTCTGCCTCCCAGTTCAAGTGATTCCCCTGCCTCAGCCTCCCAAGTAGCTGGGCCTACAGGTGCATACCACCATGCCTGGCTAATTATTTTGTATTTTAGTATATATGGATTTCACCATATTGGCCAGGATGATCTAGATCTCCTGACCTCATGATCTGCCCACTTTGGCCTCTCAAAGTGTTGGTATTACTAGTGTGAGCCACCATGCCCGGCCTATACAATCTTATTTTGGTGAATAAGCCTAGAACTAATCTTCTCATTTTCTATTTTTATATGCTTTGTTGAAGCACCTAAGTTGTTCTGCGGCAATATTCTTATTTGATAAATCAGTAGATGACTTCCAATTTGCTTACAAACGTACTGCCGATTAACAATCATATTTAAGGTAGAAATAATGTGTAGCTGCTACAGTGAAAAGTCTGAATACTGAACATTAATAAAAATTAGTATTGAGGAAATGAGAGTAATTTCGGGAAAATCATATTGTGAGTATAAGCAAGTTCTAGAAAATGGAAAGTTTTAGAATCTAATTCTTTCAAAGCTTATTCTAAACATCCCAGAATGTTCTTAAACTATACCTTTGATTCTTAATGATGAAAAATTTCACATGAAAATTTTTCATCAGTAAATTATGGGAAATAATAATTCAGATATGTTTATTTCCTTTCCAAACATACATGTCTAGATTCCTAATGTTAGGAAAAAATACCTTTTAAGATACAGTTCTTATATTAGATGAAAGGTAAAAAAATATTCTCCATAGATTCACTTTGGAAAGATGCAGGTTGCATCAACACCATGCTAATATTGCTACTGAAAACAGGGAAAAAATTAAGCAAATGGCTATTTCATTTATATAACTACAAATGAATAGCTACAGTAAATCATAAAATAGCATCAATGTTAGTATACATCCAAGCAGAAGATAACCAATACTTAAAAGACGAGAACAGGCGGCTCTTGTCCTGGGATTAGCAATTCTTTCAAATTCTGTTACTGTTCTTAACCTCCATGCTGCTGCTCATTCTCTTCCAGCCTACTTTGATCAGGTGCTCAAATAGTCTCAAAGACAACTTTTCTGCTGTATGTGGATTTAAGCTTTGACTTTGGCATACATCTTGCTGTGTCCCCACTCTACGAAAACCTCTTTATGCCACGGCTGGAACAAGAATTCTGATTGTTGCCTATATCCAATAATTTGTCAGATTTTTTCTTATCCTGATCTTGACATACAACACTGGATAAATTAGTAGTGGGCTGTAGTCTGGCTCCTGCTCTTGGACCCATCCTCCTCACTTCCAGCTTCCTTGCCATTGTCTGTGACCTTACACAACACAGTACTGATTGGTTAGCTACATGCAGTCAAATTGTACAAGATCTAGTAGAGATAGATTGAATATTCTTTATTTCTCGCTTTCCAACTGCATGTAAAATGTAAATCTGTATCTTACCTGTCACTGCAGTGTTTTTTCTTGCTTTAAGGAAGCAAAGCCTCATAACAGCATTTTTGCCCTCAGTGTCGATCTCAAAGTTGCGGACTCCAATGGCAGAGTGGTCTGCCATGGGGTGCATGGAGTGGCTTCTCCCAGGAGTGAGAAGTTTTCGAGGTTTTGTATCTGTGATAGAGACAAAGCAGGGTATAAGAATGAAGAAAAATATCTGCTTTTCGAACCAGTGCCTAGGAAACAACAGGCCCACATCTATCACTATCTCCAATGACTCCACCAAGTCTCACAATAGACTTCAGTCAACATCTATCAAGCCTTCTGCTATTTCTTAACCCCAACTTGAAGAATTGACTGTTTTTTATATTCCATACTCACTTGCTGTGTTTCCACTTGATATGGATTAAGCAAGAACTTAATATTGGAGTCAATTCTAACATCTTAGTGATCCTCCAATACAAATGTGATTCTGATATGGCATCTTCAACTTATTTATCATCCAAATTATTCTTGGAAATATTATAATGCACATGAGCTCTAATGACTGTTTAATTAGCCTTTTTAACAATACATCTGTTAGTGAGTTACTCTGGAAAAAACATTTCTAAGCATACCTCAATTATCTAATAACATCATCTCCAGGCCCCACTAGTGAAAACTGGGGACATACATCTCAATCTATGAACAGTCTGCACAGTTTTGAAAATGCATCTGTATAGATTTTTCATAATTTCAAAATAAGAAATCTATTGCAATGCTTTTAATGTCTTTTAGAAATTTGATATTTATTCACTTTTCTCCTTACTTATCTCTGTGTATCCTAAAACCCAGTGTAGAGAAAGAGACAGAATTCCAACCTCTTCATGGCAGGTTCAAATGAATCCTAAAATGATTAGTTCTGTGTACGTAAAGCAGGTCAGCGCTTTGTGTTTGCAGCCAAGTATCCCCTATATCTCAAGTTTGTTTTACTACACTTAATAAAATTGCTTCTCAGCTTTTCACCAAAAAAAAAAAAAAAAAAACTGCATCTGATGACCAGCTCATTTCTAAAGTTCAATTCAGCCTCTATGAGTTTATTCAGCTGAGACAACAGAACCTCACTGGGCCATGAGGAATGACATATTCATTATCAAAATAAATTAGTCTAAAGAAAAACCTTTAGTATCTAAGGAAACTGGAAAAAATGTGAAAGCAATTGTCAAGACATTTTACTTAAGTATAAAATATTCATGTGCTTTGCTAAACTCCCGTAAAATACAATATACTCCCATCTAATGTTCCTCATGGGTTTCTAAAGCAAGAAATAATTTAAGATTTCCAGGTGGCATAATATTACAAACTCTAGATTGAGTCTGAACAGCCTATCAAGTGAACATGAATTCCCATTTTCTTACCAAAGGGTACCCAAGTTCACTCTTAGGTAATTTGGTAAGGTTTATTAGAAAAAACTAAACTAAAATGAGAGTCTTGCTCCCTGCTGTCAGTAATTCAGAAATGCCAATGTAACATGAGGAGAAATGGCATGCCATGCAGAATTTGCTAAGCCAAGTAAATCTCAAGGTTCTCTTCAGTCACTTTGACAAGACAATGATATCCCTAATCCTCCGTGCTTATAGCCAATTATCTATAATTTAGGAGCAAGTTGAATCAAGCACATGCATGAACAGCCAGGTCTACTGTGAGTTGACTAGCCACGTCATTTTAGTTTCAAACTCTCGCTTACCTAATTTTGATTTTAGCAACCTCTGGTAATCGGGGTGAAGAACATGATGGGCATTCTCTGTGCTATTGTTCCATAGGACAATTTCTCCATCATAACTCCCTACACAAGACAGGATAGAAAATATAAATTGCTTGTGTTTTCTAGCATAACCTCCTGGCAACAGCAATTAGAAGTTATTAGCAATATATCTTACACAGAATATCGTACATAGTGGGCACTCCATATTTTTAGAAACATGAATAATTAGTATTAACTTTAGAGCTTACAATCTCTACAGTATAACCTGAGCATAGGTGTGTAGAAATTACTACTGTTTCCTTTTATTTTACAGTAGTAAAGCATTCAGAAAAGATGCTTTGTAGTTAAACTGGAGCTTGAGTCTTGGTTCTGCCACTTACGGTGTAACCTTGAGCATGTTATTTAACTCTACTTGATTCCATGATTTTCTCATCTATAAAAGAGTTTATATTTACCTCATAGGGCTATTGTAAAAAATGAAAGTACTTACAATAGTACTGAGCATATTGTAAGTACTGGAAAAAGTGTTAATTATCATACTATTGGTTAAGGGCAGGTAAATCAAGTCCTCCTATGTTTTCTGTTTCCCACACCCCTTCTTGTACATGTATGTGGGTAGGTGGGTGCGTGTCTTCACTTTGTTCCTTCTCTCCCATATTCATTGAATATTGCTTTCTCCAATCCTAAAGTGTTTCCTACAGAAAGTCTCTACTGTTTTCACACAAAACCGAGAAAAGCCCAACTGGGGGAGAAAGTCTAAGCAACCATGTCCTGTGGAGGAACAATCCAGCCATATCCAGACCATTGTTTTCAGTGGCTTGGTTAGGACACCTACCCACTGTGCAGAGTGTCTGTGGCAAGAATAGCAGAAGAAATGTTTGGGTAGGTTGTACACATGGTGACTTTGGGGATTAGGGGAGAGGAGAGAGAAATAGCACACCAAACTTTGTACTGTCCTAGAAAGAGCAATCTGTGCAACTCACAAATTGCACCAAGGGAATGGAGTTCAGCTGTCCATAAACATATCTGTCTTCTCCTATGCTTTACTAGCAGTGACTCATCAAACATTTCCACATAAGATAGATGGGATGAGAATGAAGAGGTTGTCTACCCACCAATACAAAAATTTACTAATATTTTTACAATAACAACCACGCCGTTTTATACTTGAGTGTCCATCACATTTCAGGATGTGATCTTCCCTGCAGGAGTGGCCTTCCAGTAGCTGTAAAGCTAATTTACCTACAGAGTTGGACTTACTGGAAAGTAATTTGGTTAATACTGAAAACAGGGGAACTTCAAATGTAGATAGATCAGTAAACCTCACATTGTAACACTTCATAGATATCCTGGATCTTTTTCTGTAAGTTTTCATTCCTCTTAATTGACATTTTTGGTTCTATAAAAATTCAGCTGTCAAAATATGGACTTGAAAATTTTATGGTGCAATCTCTCTATAAATTGCATTCTTTGGCCAGAAATAATAAAACAATTTTTCATTCTCTTTAATACGCTGCATCAAATCATGCCTATGAATCATTTTAAGAGCTTGGATTTGTAGACATTTTGTGAGGACAGACTTTTGTCAACATTCTCAGCTAAGTTATGCCAAACAGTTAATATGTTCACATTATGAAACATCTAAGTGCCACCAATGTGTGATTCGTACCCGACAGCCCAATGCTGCTCCTGGAAAATGGACAATACAAATCAAAGCTAATATTTATGGATGAGCTTATTGTGTGCTGAGCACCATGTTAAACCCTTGCACAGATAATCTATAAGCCAAAATATAGATATATTATCAGCCAGACAAAACTATGATTTAGAGTTTAAATAACTTGCTCATTATTATGTTTTGGCAATTGGTGGAACCGTGATGGGAAGTCAGCCAGCCAGGCATAGGAGCTGATAATCAGAACTACCGATACATTTCCCTAGAAATAAGGACTAAGAAGAGCAAGCATTGCTTCAAAAATCTATTCATGTTCAAAGCAAACTAACAGGGCAAAGAGACCACCTACAAAATGGGAGAAGATAGTTGCAAACTATACATCTGATAGTATAAGGGGCTAATATCCAAAACATATAAGAAAAACTCAGCAACAAGGAAAACCTGATTTTAAAATGTACAAAAGACCTGAATAAACACTTCTCAAAAGAAGACATACAAATGGCCAACAGACATTTGAAAAAACGTCCAACTGATTATCAGGGAAATACAAATCAAAACAACCTGAGTGAGACATCATTCCAGTCAGAATGGCTCCTATCAGAAAATCAAAATATTAAAGTATTGGCGAAGTTAAGGAACAGAGGGAACACTTACATATGGCTGGCGGGAATGTAAATTAGTGTAGCCTTTATGGAAAACGACTTTAAAACAAGCCTTTATGGAGGAATTGAAAATAGAACTACCATATGATCCAGAAATACCACTACTGGGTATGGAAATGAAATCAGCATGTTGAAGAGAGATGTGCATCCTTATGTTTACTGCAGCATTATTCTCAACAGCCAAGATAGAAAATCAACCTGAATGTCCATCAATGAATAAAGAAACTGTGGTATATATACACAATGGAATACTATTCAGCCATAAAAAGAAGAAAATCTTGTCGTTTACAGCAACACAAATGAACCCGGAGGAAATTGTTAGGTGAAGTAAGCCAAGCACATACAGACAAATATCACATGATATCACTTGTGAAATCTAAAAAGTGATTCTCATAAAAGTAGACAGAATAGTGAGTACCAGCGGATGGGGCGAGGAGACAGGAGGGGTGAGGGTGAGAGATTGGTCAGCAGATAAAAAGCTACAGTTAGACAGAAGGAATAAGTTCTGGTGTTCTATTGCATAGCAGGATGACTAGTGTTAATGTATTGTATACTTCAAAATAGCTAGAAAATTTTTTTAATGTTCTCATCACTAAGATATGTGTACATTTACAAATGTACTATTTACCATGATTTGATCATTGCACAATTTATACATGTATTGAAACATGTGCCCCACAAATATGATTGACACATAATAATTATACATAAGTTGAAAAATATATGGCCAGGCATGGTGGCTCACACCTGTAATCCCACCACTTTGGGAGGTGGAGGCAGGTGAATTGCTTGAGCTTAGAAGTTTTGAGACCAGCCTGGACAACATGGCAAAACCTCATCTCTAATAAAAATACAAAAACATTAGCCAGGCATGATGAGGCATGCCTATGGTCCCAGCTACTCAGGAGGCTGAAGTGGGAGGATCACGAGCCTGGGGGTAGAGGTCGCAGTGAGCTGAGACCTGGCCACTGCACTCTAGCCTGGGTGACAGAGTGAGACCCCATCTCAAAATACACACACTCACGCTATATATATATATATATATATATATATATATATGGCAATTGAGAAAGTGTTTTTGAGTGAGGCAAAACCACAATAAACCAAACTTTACCAATGATTGTTAAGTGAAAGTTCAATTTACCCGTAACAAGAGTTTGTGGAGGTAAAAACGCAGCACACAAGATGTCATCATGGTGCTGTACACATCCTTTCCATTCTTCAGGCTGGATGAAAAATTGATTGAAGTTTTGGGGTCAAAACACAGTAATAGCCCTAGCAAAAAGGATATCGAATTTAGCTGTGGATCTAAAATTGATGTAGATATTGAGTAGCTGCTATCCACTTGAATGGTGTGACTCGAGACTTCTAAAAGACTATGCTGCCCAAAATTTATCTCCACTTGACATCCACAATACTGAGTTTCCCACACTAAACATTTATTACCTCACTAAATTATCTGGTAAATTATAAATTTTGACAATAGAAGGTTAATTATCCTTTCATAGTCATTAACAACAAACCATGTAGCCATTTATCAAATTATCCATCGCCACGACCCTAAAGGAAAGTTTCCTCACATGGGTGTTATGAAATCACTGAGTTTTATAGCAATAACAATTAAAAGAGAGCATAGGTCTCTGAACAAATATTTTGTACTTAAATAATCTTTTTCCATCAAATTTTCTCAGGACACTTAGCATGGTAACTCTTCTTGTGGCATTTTCCAGACTTACCTGGTCACAGAATGTATTCTCTTGGAATCTACAGCATCTTGAACCAAAATTTGTGGAACACACTTGGAAAATGCCACTCCAAAGAAGTGGGACATAGGACAGATGCATTTTGAACAGAAAGAACAATATTAGAGAAGTCAATATCTTGGAGCTGCTGATAAATCTGAGGACAGGCCAGGATGGGCAAAGAATGAAATGCCTTGTGCCTGGTGGGGAAGGGAGAAGGGTAAAGATTCCAGTGCTGGAACATTAATACCACCTGTTTCCACTTGATTTGAGCTCTGGCTATCAGCCTGTAATAAGCCTTTTTTTTTCTTCTAGAGCCATCTATATCTCAAGTGAGCATTTGCAACCATAGCTATAGTGTCTTTCACCATCATTCTCTCTTCACCTTCCTGAAATCTCCTATTCTCACAGCTCTAAAGGGCTACTTGTCCTACCAGTGTTACTTCTCAGCCTGAGTTTTTAGTATGTCGTCTTTCTTTGTCCATCCTGATCTTTCTCCATTCTTTTTCTATTCCCTTCTCACTCTTTCAAATATGTGGTATGTAACACAATGGAACGTTCTTCATTGTCATTCCTTCACTTCTCTCTATCCGCTTAAACTGGCTTAGAGATCTCATATCACCATGAGTTCCAACATCATTTCCATACAAATGGCTCTTAAATTCTCTTCATTCATAACCTTTGCCAGAAATAGTTTCCACTTGCCAGTTGACAGTTCCATATGCTTCCATCAGCAAGATTTCAACGTGCCAAAAATCCAAATTTGACACCTTCCCTCCATACCAGCCCTCAGTCTGCAATTCCCAAATAAGACCAACATTCCAGCCTCTTTGAGTGTCTTTCTCTTCCCCAGTCAAATCAAATATTTAGATTTTATCTATGCAATATGTTACATGTTCATTTCTTACTATTTCTAACAGCCAATGACAGCTTGCTAGTTCAGTGCTAACTATCTCATGGCTGAATGATCATAACAGCCTACTGACCAATTTTACTGCTTCTAGTCTACCCATCTCTGGCACATTCTTCATCCGGCTACTAGATTAATTATTCTACTCTGGGCTTTTTCATTTATTCTATAAGAATTTGCCATGTGGAAGTCACTGTACATTGTGATGCAGGGTACAGAGCCATAAGCACAAAATGACTGAAATTCAATGTAAAATGTGGGAAGTTCTAAGGCAGTACTGATCAACTGCCATGAAAGGCCAGAGTAGAAGTAAAAGAAGGCTCAGTTGAGTACTGATATTTGAACTGTACCATAGAAGATGGGTAGGATTTGCAAGATGAAAGCACACTAGGGATAGAAACCAACATGATAAAAGATGAGTTGGTTGGATTCTGTTTTTAATTTTTATTTTTTAGAGACCTTTAAATATGTTAAAATCATAGGTTTTAGAGGCAAGATAAAATCTTAATTTAAGAGTATCTAATTTTACTAGAACTATACGTATGCCTACTTTGAACAAAAGCAAAGTTAACTGATTATCTAGTCATTTAATTTGATCAACATAAATATGGCCAGGGATTCAACCAGGTATTTTTGAATGACTCTATGCCAATTCACAACTTAGAAACTAAGTATATTTTGCTTAAAATAATGAGAAACACATTTGTATGGCGCTAAATTTGGGACTTTTTACTGACAGAAACTCTCTAGATATGAATGACTGTTCATAAATAGCTAACATGTGCTCTCTATAGTTCATTTTGCTTAGGCCCAAACATTCCTATTTACCATATCTTGTCTTTTGTGTATTGACCTGCCATCCATAAAAAAGTAGATGCCTTTGAAACAGGAATCATGATTTTTCACATTCGGCCTACTGTAATTTCTAACCTAGGTGCAATTTTAAAATACACATAGGAAGGGAAAGGAAAGAAAGATAGTAAGCTAAATATCTGAGTTGGTAAGTTGCTAACACAATTGTTATGTGTTTCTTCATATGTACTGTTTCATTAGCTTCAATTAAAATGATGAACTCGATCATTTATTTTAAAGTACATAATTGCTGTCTCATGGTGTGATGCCATTTGCAATCAGTCCACTCAGGAGTGGTAGAAAGAGTATTGGCTTTGCCACAGAATTCTAACCCAGTGGCCTACTAACTTTGTCACCTTGGTCAAGCTACCCAACCTCTTCAAGCCTCGGTAGCCCTCCTTTTTTTTTTTTTTTAAAGTTGCTAATACTTAGACTTCTGATTGTGAAGAGAGAATAGAATAGATTTTAATATTTATGCTGCTTACCTCTCAGTAGGAATGCAACTGTAACTAATCTTATCCTTAATTTCCCTGTCCATTCAACAAACATTAAGTCACTCAACAAATATCACCAAGCATCTAGTAAGCTCCAGGAATGCACACATACACAAATATCCATATTAAAGAAAATGCAAGAAGCTGGAGAGCCCAAAGACAAAATGGGGACATTTAGTCTTCTATACTGAGAGTTAAGGGAAATGTCCTGGCAGAGAAGATATCTGAACGAGTCTTCAAATAGGAATAAATGTTAGCCAAATGAAAAATGTTTGAGAGGGATTTCTAGGTAAGAGAATAAAGACATAAGGGTGTGAAACAGCATGGTTTGTATTCGAGCACCCTAAACAGGCTGCTATTTGATAGTTTAGAATATACACAAAACGGGAGAAAATGAAGCTGGAAAATGAAAGAATTAGGTCCAGGTCAGAGGGGGCTTAGAATTATTTTGTAGACACTCTAAAAGGTTTTAAGCAAGGACATAACACAGAACTCCTTGGAAAAAGAAATCATTATAGCTAAAGTGAGCTGAATCTATTTTAGAAGTGAGAAGTGGGCATTAGGAGGGCAAAGGACAAGTTAGACGGCTGTGTGGCATTCACTCAAGTAGAAGTTATGCTCTGAATAATACTAATATTGTACAACTTAGGAGCAGGTTTAAGAAATATTCAGGGCATAAAACAGATACGACTTAGTGACTTCTTTGTGTGGGAAGACGGAGAACCACAGTGGATATCCGCGTCTCTGGCAATTGAAGTTCAATATAGAAGAAGCAAGTTTTGGAAAGGAGATAATTATTTCAGTGGAGAACATACGGAATTTGGGATTGCAGTCGGACACATACAGCAAGAAAATGGATAACTGAGCTTACAGAGATAAGAGCTGAAGACTGGTATATGAGGTATCTATAAAATATTGCCTATTTTCCAACATGATGCTAAGGATGAAATTAGATAATGTGTGCAAAGTGGCTAAAGCTACACAGCACTGTAAATAAATCAGATGACATATTTAAGTGCTCAAAAATGTAATTATCATCCCATCCTCCACATAATTATTGAATCAATCTCTGTATTTAGATAAAGTCTGAAGTAAAAAGCTACAACTTAACAGACTCTAAGCAAGTATTAAAGTTTAATAAGATGACTGTCAATCTTCCAGTTATTCTCTAATCACTAAACTATAAGCAGTTGGTTCAATGGTCCATCTTCCTCTCGCTATAACTGAAGAGTTTTCTGCCCTCTTGCCTCTTTTGTTAAATGCATCCTGGTAACAAGAATTCTGTCTTTGATTCTGTAAAATCTAAAAGTCCCTGGCTTAGAATGTATAATTTTTAAATTCAATACAAAAGTGAAATAACTAAGAATGTATTCATTCAATTTTGAATTTGAGCCAACGTATCCTAGTCCTGACAACCTTGAGGAAAATGGAAAAGATGAAGGCAGATGGAAAAAGTGATAATTTTTCCTACTCTCATTCCAGTTTTCCCAAAGCTTCTTCCCCAAATCATAGAACGTGACCACCCACCAACACAGAACAATAGGTGTTCCTTTAAACCACTTGTAGGTGACTTGACATCTAATCTTTCCTAATTTTCCTTGTAAGCAATCAAAAACATAGTTGATGCTAATTCCTAACTATGGATATCTAAAAATAAGTAAATGGTATTGCCAAGTTTTGACTTGAATTGATCATTTTTAAAAATTCCTTTTTGCTATGTTTAAAACTTAAATTGGATCAGCTGGCCGCCACACGTGGCAAAGAACTTATTCATTGCCATTTTCTAATTATAGAGATCATTAGATCATAGACTGTGGAGTGGTTGTAGGTTGATATGGATCGTAAATCCTTTCAAAGATGTCAAGAAGTCTTGTCCTTCACAGATGATGATTGAGTTAGTTCTTAATATCAAGTAGAATAATGGGGCTATGCTTAAACTTTTATTGTCAAATTACTCCTGAAAATAAGGCAGTGTGTGGCACTTTGTTTTCTGGTGTGTATTTTAATTAGAAAAAACTCTTCCCTGTGATTGATAAAAATCTCCAAATATATACTGATGATTTTCTAGCTATAAAGTCTGATTTTAATCCTAGCTTCAAAGCATTATCATAATTCTATAGTAAATAACATTGGGCGGTTACCTATTGGAGCAATATTTTGTGAACTGTTGATTTAATTGACAATATATTCTCAAAACCTATCACATTTAATGTCCCTAGTGCTTATAGAGTGCCACAGAACTGTTTATGATCCTTAGTTCTCTCAGAAGAAAAAAGGAAAGTAATTTTCTTTGTAATGAAATGGACGAAATGCTCCTCAGAGTAAGTGCCTTTTGAAAAGCCCTTTTCTGCACTGTTAGAAAGGAGGAGCTATCACAGAGCTCAGGGGGCCATTTCCCTCTTGTGTGGCAATTGAAAATAAGAGAAAAGAAGTAATGAGTTTCCTTTACAGTTGAAGGAATGCAATTTACATGTTAAGAATTGATTGACTATAAAATTTGGGAAACTTTTGGAACCTAGGAAGTCATAATACATGCCCACTTGAAATGGTTAAAGAAAAATTTCCAAAGCCAGAGGAAAATCTCATAACAATTCTCAAAGCCACTCAAGTTATGCAATCTCCTAATATTTTATTCACTAAGCATTCAGTCAATTTCACCTAGGGTATCGCTCACCTAGGTCACCAGCAAGTTAACGACATAGCCAGATTTTTATGCTTTCTTTTACATTTCAATTAAAATAAAAACATTCTCCTTTTTACCTTCCTATAGTTTTCCATGAGGCATAATCCTACCTCTCCCAGCCTGTAACCAGTATTGTCTTCTTAAGAACGAGGATTTGTGAAATATCCACAGCTCCTTCTTGCCCAACATTTAGGGTATGGTGACAATATCCATTGAAGTCCCATATCTTTAAAAGAAAAAACCGCCTTTGAGTCAGGAAGATAAACCTTTATGTTTACAGTCTGAACTAGGATTCATTTAGGATATGTAGTCATTAAAGAAAACTCGTCATTGAATTTTGCCACGATATCACTCTCGTAATACTGTGAAATATCTATTTGGTTTTTATCCCCATTTCTTGGCACATTCACTTTTAAAACCATCAGACTCTCTCTAGTTGTGTCTTTAGTATGCTAATGATATGACTCCAGGCTGGGGACCCCTACATAGCTTCAGGGTGGGGGTCACTCTCAAACACCAAGGCATAATTAAAAGGTGGAAACTTCAGCCCGACCCCAAAACTTGCAGGGAGTAGACAGCGGCTTAAAGTTGAGTTCATCTCCAGTGGTGAATGATGGAATCAATCATGCCTGTGTAATGAAGCCTCCATAAAAACACAAGTATGGAAGTTGAACAGATTCTAGACAGCTGAACATATGTGGAGGTTGCTGGTGGGTGAAAAGCTCAGTATAGAAGAGTGTGTCCACATGCCTTGCATTATGTATCTCTTCCATCTGTCTGTTCATCTGTATCCTTTGTAACACCATTTATAATTGATGAATACATGTATGTCAAGTGTTTCCCTGGGTTCTGTAAGCCATTCTAGCAAATTAATCAGATCCAAGGAGGTCACAAGAATGCTGACTTACAGCCTGTCAGTCAGAAGCACAAGTTACAACCTATTTTTGTGACTGGCATCTAAAGGAAGAAACAGACTGAACCCTCAACCTGTGGGATCTGACTATCTCCAAGTAGATGGTGTCAGAATAGAATAGAATTGAATTGGAGGACACCCAACTGGTTTTCTGGAAAATCTACCATAGAATTGGCGTGTGGGAAAAATCCCCACACACATTTTGGTGACCAGAGGCGTGTATTGTGTTCAGTGTGATGGTAGGAGAAACTGACTTTTTCCTATATAAAATCATGCATCACTTAATAACAGGATACTTTCAGAGAAATGCATCATTGGGTGATTTTTATCACTGTGCCAATATCATGCAGTGTACTTATACAAACCTAAATGGTACAGTCTACTACACATCTAGACTAGATGGCATAGCCTATTGCTCCTAGGCCACAAAACTGTATAGTATGTACTGAACCATGGTAAATATTTGTGTATCTAAACATAGAAAAAGTACAGTAGAAATACGGCATTATAATCTTAAGGGAACACCTTATATGCAGTCCGTTGTGAACTGAAATGTTTTAGACAGTGCATGACTGTATTTTAGGCTCTTCTGGTAACTCGATCAATCTAATAGTTCTTCAAATGCTATACATTAATATGTATTCTAAACAGAGACTATATAAAATCATGAAGAAAACCATTTTGGAATCTTAAAATCCTGATGTTTTCACTGTGTCTAAATTTCTGTTTCCTCATCTGTGACACAGGAACTTGACTCCCCAGGGATGCTTAAACAGCTGATACAGACCCTGAAACAGTCGTCATTTACTAGATTTCTCATTCTCTGTTGGTCAAAATCTCCGGTTGCTAATGGGTGCCAGACTCAGTCCTCAAGAGGGCACAAGCAGTTCTAGTTTACCTGCTCAGGCAGTGGAGTGAAAACTTAAGCCCAATAGGCATACTTTAAAAGGGAGCATCATTAGATTAGTAGCAGTTAAGACTAAGCACTACTATGAAACCTTGTTGGCCCCTCATACACAGAGATCACACTGGTGCTATCGAAATTAAAATGCAGGCCAGGCATTGTGGCTCATGCCTGTAATCCCAGCAGTTTGGGAGGCCGAGGCAGGCGGATTACCTGAGATCAGGAGTTTGAGACCAGCGTGGCCAACATGGTGAACCCCATCTCTACTACAATTACAAAAATCAGCCAGGCATGATGGTGCATGCCTATAATCCCAGCTACTCGGGAGGCTGAGAGAGGAGAATCACTTGAACCTGGGAGGCAGAGGTTGCAATGAGCCAAGATCACCCCCACTACAGCCTGTCTCAAAAAGAAAAAAAAATGCATATACCCTCTGGCTTAAAAATTCATATTCTAGAAAATCATCCCACAGATACATTCATATGTGTAAAATGACATTTTCAGGAATATTCTTGCAGCATTGTTAAAAAGCAAAAGATTTGAATCAATGTAATTGCTCACTAGTAAGTAAGGAATTGTACAATCAGAATAAGGAATATCTATGCAGTAGCATATAATGTAGCCATAAAGAAAAATGAGTCATCTCCATTTTCCTAGACTTTGCCAAAACTCAACCACCTTTGGAAGCTCAAGCAAGTTGCCTTAGCTCTTTGGGCTTCAGTTTCCTCATTTGCAAAATCAGGATAAGAGTACCAACCTTACAGATATACACACATACATGTGTGTGAAGTGCTTCAAATAGTGCCTGGTTCATAGTAAACATGGAATAAAAATTAGCTAACATTATTGTATCCATTTATGAGTCAGCAACCAAGACAGAAAAATGCAAATGCAGAACAGCACGTGTAGTAGGCTGCCATCAAGAAACAAATGGCCAGGGCACAGTGGCACGTATTTGTAATCCCAGCTACTCGGGAGGCTGAAGCAGTAAGATCACTTGACCCTGGGAGTCTGAGACCTACCCGGGAAACATAATGAGACCCTGTCTCTTAAAAACAAGCAAACAAAGAATGACTGGTTGGGCGCCGTGGCTCACGCCTGTAATCCCAGCACTTTAGGAGGCCGAGGCGGGCAGATCACAGAACATCCTGGCCAACGTGGTGAAACCCCGTCTCTACTGAAAATACAAAAATTAACTGGGTGCGGTGGCCTGTGCCTATAATCCCAGCTACTCGGAAGCCTGAGACAGGAGAATCGCTTGGACCTGGGAGGTGGAGGTTGGAGTGAACCAAGATCACACCATTGCACTCCAGCCTGGTGAAAGAGTGAGAATCTGTCTCGGGGGAAAAAAAAAACGAAAAGCTGAATGAAAATAAACAAATGATGCTTATGGCTAGAAGGATGCGCAAGAAAACAACAGCAGTGGTAGCCTCAGAGAAGGAGCTGGAAACAGATTATATATTTTCATTATATATCTATTTTATTTCAAAATTTTATTGTAAGCATGCATTAATTATAAAAACAGACCCTTCAAAATCATGATGAATAATTAATAATTTTAAGTCTTTGATTACATAGGTACTGAATTTCGATTCTACATTATAAATTAGGTTGGAAAACATCATTCATTTTTGTTTCTTCATAGAATATGGCCAAAGCAACTCAACCCTGATTTGTGTCTTACACCGAAGTTGCCAGACTTCAGAATTCTGTTGTGCTCTTGTGATAAAGATAAATGCACCTTCAGAAGCAGTTATTATCCTACTACATTCCCATTAACTTCTAAGATGTCAAAGCTTCAGTTGGGACTTGAGGCACACACATACTCTTCATCCATGTCACTATGTTTTGCTCTAAAATGGCTCTTACCAAGTCCACCTAAAACAATTTCCACAAGTTAGCTATTGCAAAGACTTGAATATCCCCAGGTCCTACCAAGTCCCTCAGCTCGGGACTATTTTTGGGGGGACGGAGTTTCGCTCTTGTTACCCAGGCTGGAGTGCAATGGCGCGATCTCGGCTCACCGCAGCCTCCGCTTCCTAGGTTCAGGCAATTCTCCTGCCTCAGCCTCCTGAGTAGCTGGGATTACAGGCACGTGCCACCATGCCCAGCTAATGTTTTGTATTTTTAGTAGAGACGGGGTTTCACCGTGTTGACCAGGATGGTCTCGATCTCTTGACCTCGTGATCCACGCGCCTCGGTCTCCCAAAGTGCTGGGATTACAGGCTTTAGCCACCGCGCCCGGCCCAGCTTGGGACTATTTTAGCAACATTTACAAGGTACCCCTTACCCTAGATTCTATACCTAGTTACTTTCTAAGATAGAGGTAAACAGAACCTAATCCATTCACTCCAATATTCAGTTTATTCTCACACCCCAGGACTGGTAGGTGAGATATTGGCTTTTCCTATTTCCCTGAACTACTGTTTAATACTCTAGCTCCAGTTATTTTATTTCACCTCAATTATTGGGATTACAGTTGTCCTGGTACCTTCACACATCTTATCAGCTCTCTTGTAAACTATATTACTTAAACCCAAATCTCCACTTAATACCTCATTCCATTAACCTTCTCCTAGGCCAACTTCTGATTTCCAGAGATTCCTTTTTCAACCCACCATAGCACCATCCTCATACTAATGATTGCCAGCCTGTGATCCCCCTGAATACTTAAATTTCTAGGCTGTTCTACCTACTTATCCCATATCCAGGTAGCTTTTCATCACCCTCCTCAACAGCTTAACTGAATGCATCATACACTACACCATGGAAGGCAGAGTAATACCCACTTATAGCAGGTTTGAGAAACACTCAAAGTTTATTCAGGAGATTACTGTTGCCTCTACGTGGCACAAACCATTTCCAATCACAGACTCATTACTCTTGGGGCTAAAGGGTACAGAGAAGGTTCACTGGTAGGCATAACTTCAGATAGCAAGTATCTAGTTTTTCATGAAAAGTTGACCATTAAGAAAATGAATGAGAATTACACAACAAAAAAACTTAGAACCATAAAATCATGTTAGTTTAGAACCATAAAATCATGTTAGTTTAGAATGCATAAGATTACGATTATTCTTTCTACTATCCTTCTTCACTATCTGAATTTCACATAACAAAAATGAGAATTACAAAATAGGTTTACCTTTAAATGTTTATTTCTTGAAAAATTTACATCTATATTTTTTAAAGTTTACTTAAGTGGTCCTGATTTCTCATTTAATAAATTTTAAAAGAAAACTAGAGACATTAGCACACGAAATTATCCAGGCAATCGTATTCCCCAAAGTAGACCTGTATTCAGTACACTGAAAAAGCGGCTTTCTGAAATAAGTAAGCCAAGTTTTTTCATTCTAAATAATTGGGAAAAATTATTCATTTTTCCAGAGGTTTATTTTTCTAGCAGCTTTGCTATTAGATGGTTTGAGTTATTTCACTCTTATCTCATTTCTCTTCTTGCAATGCCAAAAAGGCAAAAATGAGAATATCTATAACCATGTCTTCTGGCATAGTATTTTAGTCTCCTCATATCTGAACAGAAAAGCATCATTGTGTTCGCACCTTTATAGTCCCATCTGTGCTGCCAGTCAAAAGCCGAGTCTCATTTGCATCAAGGGCCATAGTGCTGATTTCCGCATTGCCATGGCAACCAGTAAACTGTTTGATTTTCTGCCCAGTGTCTATCATCCAGAAGGAAACAGTGGACCCTTTATCAGAGCTGATTACCTAAGAGAAAATAACATTTTAAAGAAATTAAATATAGTCTCAGAATCAACCATTTATATTTCAATAAAGATATTCAGCCTGTGTATTTCTAGTACGAAGATCCCCCAACAGTTAGAGACATTTTTGTAATGGACTTTCTTTCTGATAAGCTGATAACACTTCACTTTCCACTAGACATGAGATAATGAAGTCATGACCCTCTTTATCAGAGAAGATAGGAATCTGCTTTCCTTACTCACCATTCAACTTTAGAGGCCATTCTGAAATCAAATTCTGAAAATAAACTTATGAATCTTTCCCATTTAGATGAGAAAGCTGATTTTACTAGTCATGGTGCTCTGACACTATTTACTATTTGAAAAACATTTTATAACAGGTTTTGTTTTGCATTCAGAAAAGCTCTACCAGCCATTATGAAAAAGTTAATTTCAACAAATTACTAGAGCTATGCTTTTAATGCCATTCGTTCTTTGCTTTCTTCCCCCCAAACTACTGTGTATATTTTCCTAGCTAAACACAATTATTGATGGATTACTAAAAGAAAGAGCACAGGTTAAATATAAATCCACTTACACACTTTGAGAGGAAGGCAGCAAAACAAATGCTAGACGGGAAAGGATTATATATAGCAGTTCAAAAATGAGAAATTTTCTAGTAAGACTGCTAATTTCAGCTCAAGATATTTAAGACATTCATAGGTTAAAACCACCTAGCTAACAGGACTTTGGAAACCAAAATAATGAAAGAAAAATAATCACAAATGCATAAATAGGAAGTTGACTAATATGTAGATTTTAAGAAAACTTAAAGTATATCTTTCTCTGTTTAGGTATTGATTACCATTGTGTAAATGTGTTAATGCTGCACTTTCATAATCAAATTGAAGTTTATCAAATGTATATTCAGAAGGACTGGTAGGTGGCCATCACACATTCATTCATTCACTCTACAACCACTTGCATACACACTTGCATAACATCCAGGCTCCATACTGGCGATGGAACTTCACTGATAAAATTCTGCTCTCAAGGAGTCAATCTGTCGTCTATTGTCTACACTAGTACATTAAAACAGCCTGGGGAACTTTAAAAAGCATCACTGCATACCAGACCAGAAACTCAAGATTCAATTGGCCAAGGACATGGATTTTTAAAGAGCTTCACAGGTGACTTAAATGTTACGCCTGAGCTAAGACCTGCTGGTCTAGATGAAGAAACAGATAAGAAACAGATAAATGCCAAAGAATGTTTCAAGTTTAGAGGTATCACCTTTGGCTGCTGTGCAAACACAGAGTGGAAAACGTGAAATCTACTTGCTGGAGTTGAGGGGATTGGGTTAGGGAGAGAAGGAGCAAGGAGCAAGTCAGGATTCACAGAGAAAGTGATAACTGATCTGGGATTGAAGATAGTGACATGTACTTATTACAAGGTGTTCCCCAAGCCCCCTTTCATATCATTTGATCTTTTAGAAAACTCTGAAATATTATCATCATTATTTTACCAATAATGAAATTGAGTTTGTAATCAACTAATGTCCCAAACTTGCAGGTTCGAATGCTAGACATAGCCATATCATAAGGTCTTCCTCTATTCCAGCATGGTATTCCAGACAACAATTCACTTAGAAAAGTACTTGGAGAATATTCCAAGCGTGAGAAACAATACAAAGTTTAATGGAGCCTGAGTGCAGAGTATTTGAAGGGACAGATATGGTGGGATATCCAAAGATGAGGCAAGTTGAAGATGGAGTTTTAGAAATCTCTAGTGAACAGTTCTAGAGAATATTGAGGAATGTAGAAAGTTACTTTTACTGGGAGAAGGCCCATAGTTTTCATCTATTATCATTGGGGACCAATCATTAAGGACAATGTTTTAAGTCTTTAGATTAATGAGGAAAAGAGTAATGTAGTGGTTTTTGTTGGTTGGCTTGTAAAGATACTTCTTGTAGCAATATGGAGAACAAACCGGGTTTGAGGAAGACCATTTGGAGACTCCTGTAATAGTCCAGGTAGAGATTCTCACCTAACAGTAGTTCTGGAGGTAAAAAGGAGGGGAGCAATTGAAAGAAAGGGCCATGATTTGGCAACATTGTGTCTCAACGAAGAACTAATAGAGCATGTGATCCATTTAGCCCTTTTCTGAAACAACTTCATTGAGACAATTTCATAAATGAAGTAAACCTGTATTTGTTACATTTCTCTGTGAAATCAAAAGTATTTTAAATATTAGCATTGTTAAACTACTGTGTAATTTCTATAACCAAATGATCTGGATCTTTGAAATAATGTACCAACACATTAATTATCATTCCATGTCATTAACTGTGTTTCTATTTGATTTTGTGCAATATACATGGTGGTTCAGAGCACTGGATCTGGAGTCAGGATGCCTAAGTGTGAATGTCAGCTGCCCCACTAACTAGTTGTTCTACCTTGGACATTAAGGTCAAGCACATTACTTTACCTTCTCTATGCTTCAATTTCCTCATCTATAAACCAGAGATAGTCATAGTAACTACTTTGAACCATTGTTATGTTTAAACAAACATTTTTAAAACATTTACCACAGTGCATGGCATAGCTATAAATCATAAGTTAGCTAGTGTTACTATTCTATCTAAGCTTATTTGACCTCTTAGGCTTGTATCACTATGCATATCCAAATCAACTTAAGAAAAATAGTATCTTGCTTTCCTCCAACTGTGACAGTGAATATAGACAATTACAGTTTAGAAAACAGATTTTAGATGCACAGTGAAATTTTGAATTATACTTACGAGTTTCTCACAAGTGCTTAGGAAGTTTGATTACATTTATTAAAGATCATAAAAATATTTTCCAAGCTTGTTTGAAAATTTTGATAGTGGTATTTTAAGAAAAGGTTAAATTGTGAAGGATTTTATTTCTATTCAAAAGCATTTTAAATTGTTTATTTTAAATTGACACATAACTACATATGGGGTACAGTGTGATACTTCAATACATGTGCACAATTAATGATCGACTCAAGGTAATTACCACATTCATCACCTTAAACATTTATCATTTTATGTTGAAACATTCAATATCCATTCTTCTAGCTATTCGAAAATATACAATAAGTTATTGTAGTCACCTTATAGAGCTACAGAACATTAGAACTTATTCTTCTGATCTAGCTATACTGAAAGGCATTTTCTGAGCAGCTATTTTGTTAGCTATTTCAGTACCAAAAGGTGGGAATTCTCTAACAGAAATAAAAGAGCCATATTCAGAGAAAAGACTTGCTTACCTGTGGGCATCACCCAGATTACAAAGCATCTAATCATTCACCCCACCACTGTTATCTAATGTAGACGTTCAATGAGGAATTAGTAATGCTCACTTTTTGCCATTTTATACTTTCCTCTGCCCACCTGACTGAGCCCAAACATACTATTCATCAGTTTTCATCATTTCTCTGCTCATTTAACAATTTCTCATGAAATCTAAATCGGTCATGACAACAGCATATAGCCAGTCTGATTTCATTTTATGGCAATCTGCCTCACAGTGCAGTCTGCAGGAAAACAATGTCTTGAAACGGACTGTTACAAACATACAACCAGTATTAACCAGAATCTACTCTCACTATGACAATATTGGAATACAAGAATAACAATACAGGTGAAAAGGCATTCAAAGTTTAGTGAAAGAGGAGTGCATTTAACACTACTTGGCAGATGAAAATGGATTTACTGCAGGACGGTGGAAACTATTTTTAGCAAGCTGTTTTCATCAGCAATAAAGCCCAGGATTAAGTCCTGGTGTCACATTTCTATGCCACATTTTCATGATGCCAAATCTCTTTAAGTGTGCAGTTTATTTCTGATTGTCTCTTATCAGTCTAGACCTCGGCTGATGAGGATGGAGCCCTGAAAGGCTGCAGAGTGGAAATGGTGCTAACAACCACACTCTAGGGTGCGTGAGCCTCCTGAGTAGATCGTTCTGATGGGAACAGTCTCCCTCTTATGTAGCTCAGTCTTCCTCTTATGTAGCTCCCTCTTATGTAGCTTGTTTAGAAATATGTGTCGTCTTTTTGTTTCATCTAAAGCTGTCACAGCTAATCAGAAAATTCTAAGACATGTGAGGCTGTATTCACGTCACCTAATTGTCTTCATGATATTCTAACAACAGTAGGCACTTTAGTTGTCTTTTACGCCCATTTCAACTCCTAGGTCTAAAAACGGGAATAAAAAAATACAGCAGCAAATGCCACTAGCTAACAGAGGGTTGAGATATTTGATTCCATTGCTGTTTATAATTTTTTTTTTTTAGTCAGTGTTTATGGTCCTATAATGTAAAACAGGTTACTTTATTTCCATTTGTAGCAAATCTCTAGATGTTACATCTTGGTGAATAGGGAGGTGAGGCCAATGATGTCTGGAGTACTGGTACAAAGTATTCAAACATTTCATGGCAGCCATTCTTTATAAATCTTGCCTATCGAATTTTCTTAAATTAATTGGTAATTTGCTCTTTCAAATTCATTATTTGAATGTATTGAATACCTGTAATATGCAAGGCCCAAGATCTAAACACTGCTGATGCAGCAGTGAATACGTTGCTCTTACATTTTGTCCAGGGAGAGAGGCAACAGGATCAGAAAAAAATCTATATACACACACACACACACACACACACACAAACACACACACACACGTAATTGTGTGTGTATATATATAATATTTGGTGGCAATAAATGTTATAGAGAAAAATATATGTGAGAAGGAAGCAGAGGGCTTTTGTCATAGTTTCAAAACTGAGGAGTCTGGGAAGGTCTCCCTAAGGAATCATTTGAGGAAAGACATAACTGAGATGAAGTGAGCCAAGTGATACTCGGGTGAAGAGAGTTCCAGATAAAGGAAACAGCAGTGCAAAGGCCCTGAGGCACGGTGTCCTTGGCACATTCAAGGAATAGGGAAACCAGCAAGGCTTAAGCAGTGTGAGGGAAGGGAGGAGCCATTGCCTGAGGTCAGTGCAC